GAACAAATTTGTCATTATTATACGTTTACGTAAATTATTTTTTTTTCCCTCAGAGATAAAATTATTTAGCTAAAAGTAGAAAAAAAAACTAATGTATTATGCATTCCAGTAGAAAATTATAACAGTTAACAACGCCGATGTGTAAACTGAGAAGTGCAAAAGAGTTGCTGTTGAATACTTCCACAAAGGAACTGCTGACCGACAAAAAATATAAAACACAAATACGGAGATGAGGATAAAGGAAAACAGAAATAGAAATGAGGAGGCTTGCCAGGAAGATCTTCAAAAATAGCTTCACTTAACCACTCCAATGTTTAAACGTTGCCTCAACAATCCAGTCCTGTTTCTGCTTTTTAGTTCCACCAAATGCATCTGATTATAAAAATTTGAACAAATCACGAATTATTCAGCTGTCCCCTCTAACATTAAAAAAAAATTTAGACACATAAAAAGTGTAGAAAAAATTCCAGTAAACCATCAAAAAATAGCATATTACATGGTAAAACAGGGGAAAACTATCTGATGCTAAGCTTTGTCTTCAAAATGTTTATTTCATCAGGTAAAATGCCTTAAATACAAAGCATGGTTTCAAGCCGACAATTAACAGTTGGACATCAGGCTGAAGAAAGTTGACAGTATTATTTTTAAACTGCTGCTGTAGTGCTCGTAAAGCTCCTTCTTTATCGTTAGACTTTTGACATCATAATTTTTGTAACACTAATCAGAACGTATGTCACTTTTTGTCAACATAATAAATTAAAATTATTTATTTGAATAAAACAAAAAAAAAAAATAGTTTCCTCTTGGTACTCTGAAAAATAGAGAAAAATAAACCGAAAACAAATACCTACCACAGTGCTTATAAGTTGTATAAAATTTCAGAAATGCTTTAAATAAAAAGTTAGAGTTAAACAGTAGAATTTTTCGGGTAACTAATATTAACGGAACAAAAACGGAGGGAAAAAAAAGCAAATCCAAAGAGGCCACAAAAGTGTCTTAGTTTGTAATAGCAATAACAATTACTCGATCACAGATGTGCTTATATTTATAGTTTTGAAAGAACTGGAGTTGTGTATCTTTTAAAAACAGGAATGTCAGCAAAAAAAAAAAAAAATAAGAAAGCTAATGCTTGAAATGAAATGACAGCTACGGATACAGATTGGATTGCTTTGGTTTGAAGAAACGATTGTTATTCGATGACTTGAACGCAGATTGTTGTAAACAAACTGTGTAGAAGAACAATAATGCATATTTATTTCACTGTATCTTCGTACGGTTCTTGACTTCAACTTTTCCAACAAATCTGGACCAATAAAAAAAAAAATTCGTTCCTTTATTTTACAAAAGTCCGGAATAAAGAGTTTTCCTGCTGATGACGGCGACAACAACAACAACAGTGAAGAAAAAAAAAAGAAGACTAAAAAGTAGTGATGTTTGGGAACTTCAAACTGTCATCCAATTTTTCACTCTTCCCTCTTCTCCGCTTACTCTCTCTTTTTTTTTCTTCTTTATTTCGAAAATGCGTCTAAAATGTTAACGCAAAAAATCTCCTTAAAATTAAAACTAGATATCTGAAATAAATTTTTTTGCTACTTCAGTTTTCTAAAAATATGTCTTCAACTCGGCAACAGTACTTAAGACACAGCATAAAAATTTGGTTAACAAATTTCGAATATCATATCTTACTGATATGTTAACCATCCTTTCTGTCTCGCATTGTTTTTTGAATTAAGTCAGTTATATTTGGAGAAGCAACTGACATCAGCATAGCAAAATTTTTGCCTGCGATACTTAAGTTGTTATACAGTTCAGAAGCTGTTGTGCTGAACAAATTTATATTCCATTTTTTTTTCCGTAACTAGACAGTTAGATACTATTGGCATATCCTAACGTGCTATAAATTGTTTTAGTCATTTGGCTATTTTGCTGCTGTTTAAGGGACCAAGATCAGCCCAGCAGTCTGTTGCAAGAAAATCCAATCCACAATATTCCAAAAACACAGTTTTAAAAAAAAAGTTTTTTCTACCTGTTGAGAAATATTATTAGGACGAAAGGCAGGAAAAATTCTGGTCTAGCTGATAAAAATATTACACTAGTCTTAGATTATTAGTTAGCCAAATAGCTGCAAGTCAGCAACAAAAAATCAAAACAGAAAGATGGTACCACTGCGGTTTTAAGCCATACGTTAAAAATCCATCAACAAAGACTTCAAATCAGTCACTTTAACACATTATTCCAGCCACCAATTAATACTGAAAAATAAACCTCACCAAAGACGAAGATAAACACACGAAGTTGTCGCAGTCTTTAAAAAACTCTTTTCACCGTTATTCATAGCCTTCTTCCTTCCCCAACCTCTTCTCCCACCTCCATTAACGTTCCCAATGTTTTGGTTACATGTTTGTCTCCATTTTCTCAGCAGATCATTTTTGCTCTAAATATACAGTCTGAAAACTTAATCTACGACACTCTAAAAGTCTTTTTGAATCATAAAGTAAAAATCTTTTGAAACGACAGCTTTCAGCCAACAAAAAGCAGTTCAAGGCTGCTCTTATAAACTTTTTTCTTCTCTCACCAAGTCGTGTTGATCTGCCTACTCCTCCTTTTTTCTGCTTTTTTAGAACCTTCCAGCAACAAATTAAATAACTATTACTTTTTTCTCAAAATGAGAAGACAAGAACAATTCCAGTCATAAACACCTCCCTGCAGGTAGTGTCCAGAAATCTCAAAGAAGAAAAAATGAATAGTAATTATTAATGCATCAATAAGGAGATCAAATGAAAAAGTAAAAACAATCAACAGTTAAAGAGTCTTTTATCGATATCAGACAAAACAATGTAAACAACATCCTGGTTTGAAAAATTTCAAAATTATCCACAAAACATACAAAAACAGGAAACTGACTAACCACATCCAGAAAAGAAAGGAAAAAATTCCAGTTCTTTATTTCATAAATGGAATTCTTTTTTGAAAGAATGTTTAGTAAGCTGACTAAAAACTCATAATCTTCTTCCTGAAACCCAAAGAAAAGATCATAAAGAATTTTTCACACAGTTAGCGTTACTCAACATTCTCATTTATCAAAATGCCGATTCTGTTTATAAAAAATATTTTTGACTACCAAAACAATAATTAACCTATGTAATCACGTGTAGAAATTTGCCCAGCCAACTTTTCCGGCTATGTAATAAGATTTAGTGATTATATAAGAAATAATTTTCAGAAAAAACATTGAAATTTCTGATATATAATACCAGTCTTACTACACTGAAGAATTATGATGAAGAAGCAACAGTTCCAACTCCTTTCCTGACGAATGCATTAGCAGAAACTATTATAAAAATTATAGCAGAGTGCAGCAACTCTCGAAAACTACCAATGTCTTCAACAAGTGGACAGATTATTGCTGAATAATGAGATGACAGTTACTAAAGAACATTGAAAAATTAATGTTTTAGAAGCAGGTGATTTCAGCGCATTGAAAAGCAAAAACACTTAAATTTCGATTTGGCTGAGAAAATCACATCAAAGGCAGTGTACCGATCACTGCCCGTACATTACACTTCCGCACATTATAAGTCTCCACTTATACGACTAAATCACTGTTCTCCTCCCGTACAAATTACCGTCTTTGAAGATCGTTGTTTTTCCCAAAGAATTTTTGATTTTACATTAGTACTGCACCAACAACTATCATATAATCGTAAACTATAACAAAAAAAAAATCAAAAGAACAAGAAAACACCTTAAATGAGAACCAAAAAACCTGCCCAAACCTCGACATGAAAGAGTTCCGTCAATTCTGCTTTTTATTTTTTTGAAAATGTAAAAAAATTAGAAATTTTAATTTTGTTACTTTGCAAAACTCTTAATATTTTGAATTCATTAAATATCCAATCCGTGAGTAAACCCTTCATCTGTAACAATTCCATTTTCCAATAGCCACATGCGACACAGGACGACTCCCACAGATTAATATAAATTTTATCTTTTTAAGTGACTGGGATCATCGACAAGTTACATTTAGAGCAATGTGTAAAGACGTATACACTTCTTCCCTTTCATTAACAACCACAAAGGCACAAGCAACAAGCAACTCGAGTTCGAAAAGGAACAATTTGAAAAGAACCCCAAAAACAACCACTCCCATCGTCGAAAAAATAACAAATCGGCAGCCGCATCAAATAAAACAACCAAAACAGGTTAAGCAATGTTCAGTCGATTAAGCACCTATGATCCAAAGAGTAAATATTATCAATAATGAATGAAAAGCATAAACATAGTGTCCTCCAGAAGCTTTTTGAACAGCGCGTTTAAAAAACTACCACTTTTCAACCATCCTAACCAAATCCAGCAAATCTTTGACTTTTACAAGAAAATTAGGAAAAAACCAATACTGACACACCTGCCCAAATTGTTAATAACAACCTGCGCACCCACTAAAATACTAATTTATTTAAGCTTAAATAAAGAGGTAATCCCCTACCAAAAGTGACTGGTGAACGAGCACTCTACATGAGAGAAAAAAACCAAGATGAAAAAATGTTACTTATATAAAAAGCTGATTTGTCACACTGATTCCAGATTCAACATTTATTTTCAGTTACAAACCAAAACTTGAAAACAGCATACCAGTACTCTCAACAATGTCCCGAAAACGACAAAAATTTAAAAAGTCATATACATCCAGATAACCCAAAATTATTCTTGACGTCTATGACCTGTACTAAGTAAATGTTAATCATAGTTATAAATATCGAAATAATTTAAAGCAGGACTCACAGAAAATCGTATGGTCTACTGTCAAAAGGCTTCATAAAAAAGTGAAAAAAATAACAGCCTTCATTAACTTCTCAAATGTAAAATCTGTAAGGCTCAAAGCAAAAGTTACCTTGTTCAACACCTACACAGAGCAATAAAACATTTCGGAATTTATAAAGAGAGGAAGAGAAGAGGGGTGTAAAAACAATTTAAGAAATTTCAATATCTCCGTCATTTATAACTTTGAGACTTAGCAACTCTAAGCGTCCCGCATTCTTCGCATCTTTCCTCAACAGTTCGTCCACAACGCGATACGATCCTGGATCAATTAAACCGATCTAAAAAATTTCTACCATATAGCAAACGTTATTTCACACATGCTTATTCTAGAGTGTTTTGTAGCAATTAATACGTGAAAAAAAGAAAGTCCGAAAGCTTCGCAGCAACCCACTAATACCAACCAGCAAAAATAGAAGAGGAAATAATCAGACTTACCAGTTCCAAATTACCATGTGCATCCCAGTCCTCCACTTCTATGGTCTTGAACAACGCTCGAAGCTTGGTGTGAACTTTTTTAGCCTCTTTTGAATCTACTGAAGTACGAAGCCGCATTTCTGCGCGATCAATTTTCATAGTTTCACGTAATTTTGGAATCATTTCCAAAGCCTGCAAAACGAAATGCAAAAATTTCCAAGAAAATCAGATATACTCATCATTTATAAATCAATCATGACCGTAGTCGGCGAAGAAACGCCAAAAATACTGTAAAAAAAGACATCAAATTTTAAATATAAACTTCAGTGAAACAGAATTCTAGAAAAACGCATTTGTCTGAGGGATTTTGTTGTCGTATTAGAAAGTTACAAAGGTGGCCATGAGAAGCAATCAAGACAGTATATGCTACCGAAGAAAGACAGAAAAAATAGGCTTCTAAAGGATCTGGAAAATTCAGCAGCCCTTCGGACTATTGGCATGTCCCTCCAGCTCCGCCTATCTTCTAGACAAATGTTTTTCTCGCTGCTCGCCCATTTCACTTTTGCAACCTTCTAAAATCATTTTCTAACGAAGTTGGCCGCAAATATGCATTTCGCACAGCTCTTTACAGACCTGCTTCTTCGACGAAGAGCTTGCTTTGTTGCTGAAGTGTACATCTTTCAACGCTTTTTCAATTACTGCAATTGAATAAGGCCTTTTCGTTTCGGGATTGACGCACATGTTGGCAATCATGTTTGCCACTTCCTTGAACGACGATTCCGCTTGCACCTGACGTTCTTTCTCAGAAATTTGAAGGTCACCTTTGTCCAATATCTGAAAGCATCTCTTGGAAATTCGTTTTATTTCATCAAATGATAAATTAGTTTAATGAATACTACCCTTTATCTTGGATTTCGGATATTAAGAAAAGCTATGAAAGACATCTCACAAAAATTAGCTCTGTATCAAAATAGGTATCAGGCATAGAATGTCGTAGGTTAAAGTCAAGTTGAGTAAAAAGGTCAGCAATTGTTCAACTGTAAAATAAGGCGTAAAACAAATTAGAAATCGAATATAAAAAGTTTCTTCTCAAACAGTAGAAAAAATGATAATAACCATCTTGCAGATTTCCAGTTGATCCTCCATCCCAAACGCTGCAATTAAGTCATCACGTTTTGCTACCTGACCTTTAGAGACATTTGAAAAAACAGTCTGGGTTTGGAGAACTTCATCTATATTCTTCTCACTAAAAATCAATCCACTTATTAATAACAGTAAACAAGGCACAGACGAACCAAACTGGATGTAAAATCTTGGCGAATATTATAAGTTAACATTATATCACAGACAGAAAATGACAAAACATTTCTACCACCACTGTTTCACAAGAAATGAGTAAATGAGCTATAAACTTGTCAACATTACATTTCACGAATTACCAGTCAAAGTGAACAAAAAGCTGAAAAGTGGTGTCAACAACAACTACCCACTAAACTAGAAAATAACAAGAAGGAAACTATTTATCTAAAAAAAAACCATGTACACTGCAATAACAGTTTATCAAAAAGTATAAAAATTTCTTTTACACTTTTTAGTTTCTGGGAAATATGATACTGATAAACATCTTATTCTGATTTAAAAACAAAACTAAAAAACCTACGTCTTGTTCCTCCAATTAACTACTTTATTCTTATAACACGCAACTTCAAATCTTTTTCCACATTTTTTCATCCGTACCACGGCAACATTTGTTAAAAGTTTCTGGTTTGTTGGTGTTTGTATCCGATGTGCCATTCTAAAGTTACAATAAAATCAGTGACATCCTAAATATATATCAAAACAAACGGATTTCTTTTGCACAACAAACAGCTAACATTTGTCTTTCTAAATAGACTAACCACTACTCAATTTGTTTAAGATAGGGAATAGTATCAAGGAATTTCGAGAAATATGAGCATCACAACTATCTAGGAAACCCGCCCAAACAGCGCTGATATATTGACGCAGAAAAAGTGGCACAACGAACTACAGTTATTGTGCAATAAATAAAAAGTTTTTTTGCTGATATGTTCGTACTATAGTCTAACTGGTGACAGCACTGGAAAACCTTCATAGTCTGCTGCTTGCAACTAGCAAAAAATTGTTAAAAAGTGAAAGAATAATCAAAAAGAGGGTAATCGATGCCAGAAAAACGTTTATAAAACCGAGTGACTATTTTTCTATAAACGAACCAAAAACTAAACACATCGCAATGCCCACTGCAATCATAGCAAATGTTTAAAGCGTCGTGTCGACGTTCGCCAACAACGGACAAAAACTAAAGGCAGAAGTCTTTTCTTAATACAGAAATCTATGTTTTTGAACCAACATTGATCTCCACACAACATTCAGTACCAATTCGCTTTTCTTCTCAATTCATCCTCTTACAATTAAGTGATCAATACATTCCCGTCCACCATTTATTTCTCACATTAAAAGCTGTGCAACAGTGCTGATGGCAAATTATGATGGCAAATTATGCAAGAAACCAGTTCTTATCGTTAATCAGTGATCAGTTTTGCACTATAATTTACAAATAAACCGATCTAGTCTAAATTCAGCTTCATTTAATTTAAAATTAAGTGCCCCACGTTATTTGACTTTGGTTCAAAGTAAATCCAAAAAGTGCGAACGATAAGTTGGTTTCTGAACGAGCACACTGCAACGCATAAGAATGCATACAAATTTGTCAAAAGCAAATTCATCTAAAGACATCATAATTGGTTTTCAGCTTGTTGATTCAGCTCCTCTCATGGCAAATAGTTTGTTGTTGGTCAAATTTCACTGCTTCAGAGAATCACTACAACAACCAGCAGCTTCCTGAGGGTTTAGGTTTTCTGAGATTAAGTCGCTTCTGCAGGTTTTGGATTTTCTCAATCCTGACAAATTTTGCTCTATTATTGAATACAGTTTAACAAAAAAGTTTTCAATTTTAATTAAACTGCCGTATAATCCACAAATCGTCACTGGTGTTCTTACTTCTAAAAAAGTCCTGAAAGATTCATTTGATTTCATTCAATTTTGAACCGGCACTCTGTGAAAACCCCTTGAAAAAGTTCACCGTTTAAAAAACAGTATAATTTTAGAATAATGAAAGTTTGAAGCAATTTTTGTACTGAAATTAGATACCCCAGTTTGAAAGCAGTTATTTCGGCCAATATTTTTGACTTCAAGTAACAGAGTCAATGCTTTAAACTATAAAGTTAAAACTGTGCAGTTACATCCTGACAGTTTATCAACTTGTATAATTGGTATACGGATGATTTCGGCAGCTGTAACAACAGAAATTATATCTCATTGAAATACCTGCAAAACACTTCTAGCTAACATGACATACGTGAAGTAACGGGTTACCTCTGGATCAAACTGTTCTTAGAAAGCTAAACTAAAATGCATCGTAAATTTCCAGCCCCTTATCTGATCTTTTTCACTGTTGTTCAATCCTTACCTATCTGTCTCTTTTTGTTCTTTAAAACCACTGCGATTCAGTGAGTACTGCGGATCTAGTCTTCTATGCAGTTTGAAACCAACAAACTCAGAGGGTTCACAGCTCGAAACTAGCTAGTTTTCCTTGAAAGATATGAATTTTACTTTGAAAATCCAAAAATAGAAGGATGACTTCTTTCATATAACGAACAGGTAAATAGAAAATCCTGGAATATTCTAGCGGACTGAAATTTCTCATTTTGCACAATTTCAGCAGCAGATAATTATCCTAAAACTTTTCTGCCACTCATGCTTTGCTACGAGCCCTTTAAAATCGGCCCAGTTTCCTTTTTAACTTCAAACTTATAGATACATTTCATAAAAACTGGAAAAATGACTGCGATATCTATACTACACATCTCTTAACCTTTTGGTCTCCCAATAACACTAAAAACGTAGTAGAGTAAAAGTACTTGCATTAATTCTGCTAACTCTGATAAATCTCAAAGTTAAAAAAGCAGTGAGATGACAGTATACAGCTGGAAATTAACGGCAAACCAAAAATTTGAAAAGATGCAGTTTTTCCCGAAGTGGCTTTCTTATCCGACTACCTAAAATCCATATTTACGCAAATGTCAAATGAATCAGTAGCAGAAAATTGGCAAATTGCCAGCTCAGACTAAACTTCTCACCGCGAGAACCGGAGGTGCGAGTTTGTATTTGCAAGTTCTTCTGGCTGCTGTAGCGTACTCAAACCGTTTTCATGCTTTTGGTCTACGTTTTCTTCAGATTATGTTGAAAGACTGACCTTCCAGTAAAAAAATGTGTGCTGACTTGTACCTTTTAGTCTTTTAGGCTCATCAACTTGACAAAACGAAAATACTGTTCAAGAGTCACCCTTTTTTTAGAGAGATTCATTTTCTCCTAATTCAGTGGTAAGGTTCCGTACTCTATACGTAAAAATGATTTGTGTCCGTAATTTCAAACTTATTTCTGGGAGATGAGGCACCCCTCAACCAGTACTGTAAAATCACATTTCTTTAGTAATTTAACATTACTGAAAACCTGAAGAATAAGATAACTCACAATTTTACATTGAACCTCACTCATTTTTTTGCAGCACAAAAAATATTTACAATGTCTCACAACGTATTCCACGAGTTTTATGGAGCTTTGGTTGTTGTAACTATGCAACAGCAATACTTTCTCCTCAGTCAGAAATTTCATACCGATTTCTTTCAGATTTTTGTTCCCATCCTTACTAGTTAGTACTTTTCTGTAGCAAGGCTCTTAGCAGCATTCAAGAGATTCATATGGATTGTCCCGTAAATGTCTCATGGAACTGTATATACTACCTTAGGCCGATAAAGACTAGGATTTGACTTCGGGTCAAGGGATTATTGACACTTCCACCTCTTCTAATTGTCGTCCAGCACTCGTTCCACACTATAGAGAACAAACCACCCTGAGAATTGACGAGTTTTAAATCTCGCAAAACGCACTCTGGAGTATCAGACATGCGGCATTAATTAAGGTTTGGTAGACAGTTGAAATTCCCATTGTTGCAACCTGTTCCTCTTCCCTATTTTCTGTAAACGCCTGTCGACTGCTTGGTATAAAACTCGAAGTCTCGAAGACGCAATCCAGTACAGATAGTCTTCTCCTGGCCTTCTCAAGCATTTGTCTTGAAAATTGAATTTCTGCTCAACAAAGCTGCGAAAATAAATTTGGAATTGAGATACGAAGCAAAAGGTTGGTGGCAGGAAGAAACAGGCTATGTAATGGGCCTCCTACCACTGCATCCAAAGTAATCCGTCAAAACAAATCTTCCAAAATCAGAGGCCAAAAAGACAAGATTTGTTAACCGGCAAATTTTTACGGGCCGACTTCATGCAACTACTACTTGTACATCTCATGCGTTTCCAAGTAAACTGACAGATTCTTGCTGGATCATAATTAAGAACTTTCTACATTATGGAACCACACGTTCGGTTCTTCACTACGTTAGTTACTCTCCTGCTATAGGCAAACTGCGCCCTTCAACATGTGTAACCTAATTGAACACAGAGGGATTCGCACTGCATTAATAAAACCGAGGACCGCTACGGACCACAGATGAATCTTGAGAATTTCCTGCTATTAATTTTCTGCTGCAAAATTAGGAACCAACTTTAATACTATCCAAAACTCGCCATATCTGTTAAAGTTGAACCCCCGCAAGTAGAAACTCTAAAACAAAATGACCTTGCATTGCTGGACCCTGCCTGCTGTCTTACATAGACTTCGTACAGTCGTACATGACCGCTCATGTAGCTCACAAGTTAAACTTCAAAACTTATGAGGCGACACTCTCTGGAACCTGTGGATCTACAGACTATAGGCAAGCTTCATTCATAAACAAATATTATTAACCAATCTTAACAGGCAACGCATCTACAGCAATAAATATGAAAAACAATACATGTCGCTTCAAAAATACCATCACTCCGCGAAATAAGTATAAACCAGAGGTAACAAGTTTTACTTGCAGGCCTCAACATAAATCTGAAAAAAATAATTTAAATAAAGCGACTGTCCAAAGGTTAAAGACTGAAGATAACGCAAATTAAATGATAAATGCAGTGCGTGAATCCAAGGTAACTTAAGCACTTACCGGAGATGTACACCTGTGTGTTAAACTGTTAAAAACTAGTGGTGATGGGCAAGCGAAACGGTTGCAATACCGAGGCAACGAAACATAATAACTAGGCGAACATCCAAATGAGAAGACTCCATATCCCATGCCATAGCATGCTGAATTATAAATGGTCAAAAATAATTAAACAGCTAACAAAAACCTTTTGAAAACTTAACATACCGGCATAAGAATGAAGTGGCGTCATTAATCCCCAAAAATGTGGTGCTTGGCGCTGAAAAACCAGTACGATGAAACATCATAAGCGGAGAAATAAAAAGATTTTAAACAATTGTAAAACGTACTTTCCCTCGAGTCTTTTGTGTTTTCGCCACACATTTCAACTCTTTCTCATTAACAACAAAGTCACCCGGACAATTCAAAATTACGGTGTCACCAGAATTGCATAGCACGACAGAAGACAATGATCCAGGAAGTGGATAAACGCCATCCGGATGGAAAAGGCAGGAGAAAGCTGAAATGAGGTTTGAATACATGGTCCAGCCATAAGTACTCAAAAAAACAAGTATAGAAACCTGAGTAGAACTCTCCAGTTTCCTCCTCTACCACTCCTGCATCATTTGGTGTGACCACATGTGCTATCCGACGATCTAGTGGAAGAGCAAAATATCCAGTTCTAGTTGAAGTTAATGGTGCTGCCGTCGGTTCCGCTACCACTGCCGCAGGAGGTGCCGAAAGTCTTCCCTTTCCAGCTTTAAAGAGAGCTACTGGTGCTACCCCTAATCTTTCCGCTAACGCTTCAGGAGCTGCTGCAAGTCTTCCACATCCGCTCCTAGCGGGAGTCACTGATGGTGCTGCTGGTGTTTCTGTGAATGCTGCAGGAGTTCTTGGAAGTTTTCCACATCCGGTTTTGACAGGAGCTACTGGGGTTGCTGTTTGAGCTACTGAAACTGCTGCAGGGGCTGCTGAAAGTCTTTCGCTACTGGTCCTGGCAGGAGTCGCTGACACTATTTTTGGTGTTTCTACGAATGGTGCAGGAACTGCTGTAAGTCTACCAGGTCCGGTTCTAGTAGGAGTCATTGACGATGCTTTCGGTGTTTCTACTAACATTGAAGAAGTTTCGAGAACTACTTCATGATGAATAGGAGTTTGACGTGTCGGTAGTTCAATTTCTGGTACTTGAAGAGGTGATGACGGATCTATGGGGTAACGATACTCATGTGCGGCCACCGGAAGTGGAGCTACTTCACTCTTTATCAAAACTAGTTTTTTGTCGTCTAAACGATACAATAACTTTAACTGTTGCTTTTCTGCATTTAATGCGGGCTTCAAGCGTGAAGATTTGTAAGGACCATCCAAAATGGCGGGAGGGGGGCAACCGTCCGGCTGAAAAAACTTCGTAAGTAATTATGCTAACTTCTTATCCTCCTTAGGTTGTCACAGCCGGATAAAGAAGAAAACGAATATTGAAGAGGAAAACTTCAACAGATGTACCCTTGGAATACAAGTTCCTGTTTTAATGTCGAATATCTTGTTGTCTGGGCAGCGGAAAATTATTGTAGTTTCCGCCTTACACAACACAAATACGTCAGAGCAACCTTTTGTGTAGACTCCATCTGTTTTGCTGTTACATGTAAAAACTAAAATATCGTTCGATTTTTGTCTTGAAGTATTGAGAGAAAATCTACAGCAAAACAAACAAACCTTCTGGAGCAGATTCTCCTGGGAGAAGAACGGGCTTCTGCTCAACAGCGAGTATTTCAGCAAGCGATGGTCGCTCTGTTGAATCCACTTTGGCTACTCTAGTTACTAAATCTGCACGCTTTTATTCTCTAGCTTCTTCTGCTTTCTGAAGAAAAGTGTTTGGTTATGCGTGTACCTGGATTAAAGTAAAGATTTTCAGATGACTCCTCGTCAACCAATGCTGGGGGTGGAACAACTTTAAGAATAACAGGGGGTTCGGTTGAAAGAGTAAGCTTCATCTCTCGTAAAGGCACTTCAGCACTATTGAAAGTGTTAAGTTTTTTAACAAGTCTGGTTGAAATAACTGCTGGCTGTGCCTGAGCCGTCGCAGTTTTCATTCTCCGAAAAGGTGACCTTTCCTGATTTGCCGTATCATCCTTGTCAACAAACACTGA